AAAAAAATTTGCATCCATAGATTTTTCCATTTATTATATTTTGCTCATAAAATAAAAATAAATAAATAAAAAATATGATAAATACAGAATATATAAATATTTATGTTTATATTTTATTATCATTTGTATTCATTTTGTATGAAATATTAATGAAATAGATGATTTGATGAATCATATTTATTTTTATTATTTTTATTCTTTTATTTATATGTTATTTATCTATCGTATTTTTATATATTTATTTCTCTGTTTATATTATTTATATCATCTGTTTATCTATATATTATTATATTATTCTTATTTTATGTTTTTTATGTTTATATTATTTAGATTTTCTTATTGTTATTCTTTTATATTTAAATGTATTTTATTATTTGAATATTCATCTTTATCATTTTTATATTCTTATCATTTTTATATTCTTATCATTTTTATATTTATTCTCTTTTGTTTTATATTAATATTGATTTTATCTTTTATACTTTGATTTTATTATTATATCATTGATTATCATTTCTCCTTTTATTTATCATTTATTCTTATTATTCTTTTGTTTTATATTCTATATCATATATTCATATCATTTTCATTTATATTTTATCACTTATTATATGTTATAATAACATAACACATATGATTGAATATATAATAAACATCATGTTTAAATTATACATATAAATAATAAACATAAAAAATAATACAATATTTTTTTCAATAAAACAATATTAATTATTTTGAATCATTAAATTAGACACTTATTATTGAATATTTCTAATTTTTACATTAAAAATACACTTTTTATTTCTTCTTTTATTATCTATTCTATTTTATTACTCTTTATCTTCTTCTACTTTTTCTTAGTTTCATAATTTTATTTTTCATCACCTTCTACTTCTTATGTCTTTTTATTCTTTTATATCTTTCTCTTCTTTTTCCATTATTTGCTTTTTTTCGTTGCCGAGGCTGTGCACTCAACATCACATTTAACTACAAAGTATCACTGAGAGGTTAATTATCTATTTCAACTCTTTTATTCTATTTTCATTTAAATTCTAGAATATAAAAAACGAGAATAAGAAAATAAGAATATGAATATGAGTGAGAAGCAACTTGATATTCAAGTATTTAAAGATTATAGCATTGATTTTACAACTAATGTTCAATTAGTGAATGAAGTTATGGCAAGAGAAGTTATTAAGTACTTGTACAAAGTGGATATGAGTGAGATGAAAATAAAGGATATCCAGAATAATGAAGAAATAGACAAAACAAATGATGATTACGATTATGCTATTCAAATAGGATTGTACTCTCACAATATTATTTCTAATAAATATATTGTAGGAGGAATGGTAGTTTCTAGTAAGGATAAAGTTCCATATTTGTTTTTAGCTAATTCATATAAAATTTCATATTGGAAGACAGATATAGAGAATTATGATGGAGACTTTTCTATTACTAATAAATCATTTATGGTAGAGAGAAATCATGGAATAGATATTAAAGGTACATTACATTTACCAAGAAAATCAGCATTTTTATTAGGAAAGTATGAAGATGTTATTTTTGAACAAAGTACTACTGAATATACATTAGGAAGTGATAATGTGTAATATGTATTTGTAAGTGATGAGACTACTACTACTAGTAAAAGAGAGAATGAGAAGAATACTCTTAATCAAGGTATGAGTAGAAGAAGAAAATTATTAAGAAAGAGATAATTAAT